AAAAAAAAAAAAAAAACTTGATTTGACAATGCTATTCTAAAAATAAATTTAAAAAAATACGTTCTTGCCGTGGATTGAAACAGAAAAAATAATTCTGTTTTTGTCGAACAATAAACGTCATCACTTTCGAAAAACGAGAAAAATTGATTTGGTGTTGCGTACCCCCATGCTTTTTTTTTTTCTTTCGTCAAACACAAACAGTATTATTTTAGTTCATTTCAAAAAATTTTATTGAATTCCTATTTTCCGCTTTTTAGTCGAAAACCGGAATCAGAAGTCCATAGAAAGGCGTCAAAATTTCGAATCACGATAGAATGCGAAAATAATTTCAGTTAAACACTTATAACCTCGCATTAGTTACAGTTGAACAATTGTTAAAAAGTGATCGAAATTTTAATTCTGTTTTTAGATAACACAAAAGCTTCAATCAAAACGTTACAGCCGGAGAAAAAAAAAAAAACTTTTGTAGCGATAGAGAAACAAATGACAGTTAAAAACTCGAGCAAGTCATATAAAACTCGAGATCCATTAGGTTCGTAATAGTATCAATATTGATTGCAATCATCGTATCGATATTTGAAGTCATCCATAACGATATTATTGCATTCGACATTTATTAATTTTTATCATTAACTACCTGAATACGAGTTCTTCGTTACGGGTTGAATATAGTAGTCATGCGAATCCTCAAAAACGAACTCTTTTTCTTAGAAATATCTAAATATAGCTTATTTCCTTTATTAAATCTGTTCTTTATTAAACTAATATCTTTTCTTCACACACAATCAGTACTGAACAACACTGCGAAATTATACACAAAAAGCATATTAGGTTACAATGGAAGAGCTTAGTGGAAGAAAAAGGCAAGTGAAACTTTTAAAGGTGACTCAGTGAAAATAACAAAGTAGTGGTATGGGTTTGCTTAATGTAATAGAATCGTTTTCCTTTTAACAAAACTAATCCCCATTAGTTTCTTTTTTATATACTTGCATGATTTACTGCTATTATGTTTGGCTAATTATCGCTCAATTTTCAGATAGATTTCATTGGATACCTACAAGCGACGAAGACAACGAGTGTATTTCAAACCTGATTGGCTGCTGAACATGATGTCCCAAGTCGCTGGCAGGTACCCAATTTGAATTCCTACTCAACATTAGCCAATTTCAGATTATGTGAAAATAAATAAAATCGAAAAACGTTCAAGTTTAGGAAAAGCGTTAACGTTTGAAAAGTCAAACAGAGACAGTCTTCATCAAAGAATGCACAAACACTGATTTATTTTTATTTTGAATAAAGTTAATTATGGGTTGCTTAAATGTTTTGATTAAAATAAAAGAAAATAATTTTGCACAACTAATTTCTTTGATTCATTATTGTCCAAGGTTATAAAATCAAATCGCTTATTAATGTGGAACATTTTTTCTGGAAGAAAAATTATTGATTTTGTTTTCATTTTTTTGATAATTTGACACACTAGTATGACCTTCGCATGCCATTTTGAAACAATCCAGATGGACTTTCTTTAAAGATATTATTTCATTTATTGTATAAAAAAAAAGCTGAATATTTTACATAAGTTGTACACTATTTCTAATATCCCTTACCAATAGAAAACATTTCCTGAAAACCTGGTTTCAAAATGGAGGCAAACATTGTTTTGATTTTAAGAATAATATTATCTCGAATTTTCATTCTTGTTTATTCTTAAAATATCACCAGAAAACAATTTTTTCAAAATGACATTTGAGAAGTTTTAAAAATTTAATATTATGATAGAATTTTGATTTAAAAAAAAGTATTATGTTTTAAATACGTACTAATTTTTAAATCATCAACAGAGAAGAGAACTAGATCTTTTAATTAACAATTTTTTAAATTCTTATTTATAAATCAACAATGCCATATTTTACTTGGGTGTGTTTCAGCTTTTTAAAAAGGGAAATAAAAATATTATTAAAAAAAAAAAAAAACTGAGTACACATCTTTTCAAATTACTAATCTATTTTAAATCAATTTTATATAATTTTGCTTCGAAATTGGTACAGCTTAAAGGCGCAAAAGCCGGAAGCGACTATGCTACGGCAAATTCAAATTAAAACATGTCCACCCAATCAAAAAGGAGCCAAAAATAATACTTCAGTTCGAAACACGAAAAATAGAATTGCTGAAAGAAACTAAAAATCGTAAATGTGGCATTTCAATTATTACTTAAGGTAGGAGGGAATTCGTGATTTTTGAAATGATTACTAAAAATATTTTTATGACATCGTAAGTCAAGATTTTAAAAATCGTTATCAAAAGTCTAAGACAGTCTGATTCCCTCAGTGTGCTAAAAGGTACTATAATCTTTTGTAACATAAAAAGATCGATTTAAAGTCTCATCTTAAAGCTTCAAATTTAACACTTAGAATAGGGGTGCACAACCTTTTTGAATGAAGGGCCACTTGCACAGCTGGTTGAATAATTAAGAGACCGCACGCGTATTTAGACATGTTAACGGCAAATAAAAAAAATTTTCTATAAACATAAGCACTAATTTTTTTTTCTTCAGTAAACTTAGAATTTATCAGTAATATTTTCAGAAAATTACTTTTAATTTTTAAAAAATAATTTTAATTATTAAAAATCATTCAAAAATAAAAAACGTGATCATTTTTTTAAAAAAATTTACCTTTTTAAAAAGTGATATATTCAAAAATATATAAAAAATGGATAAAAGAAATGTGCTTTTTTTTTTTGTCATATCACTTGGTACACTTTTTTTTTTTTTAAACGTTCACTTCACAGAATGAAAATATAAAAGATAATTTAATAAATGCATATTTTGATGATTAATACAAATTCAAATAAAACATATTTTAATTGAATAAAATTTATAGGAAAAATCACTTGGATTTGAGATGAAATCGGCAAAAATAATGCCAGACAAAAAGTGATTACTCAATTTCGAAATTAACATATCATAAAAAGTATTCTATTTTTTAAAAAACATGCAAAATTCTGACGCAATGACGACGGAGTAAAAGAGATCGAGAAACACAGATTTATTTACTATATGTAAATTGAGCTCATCAAAAAGTGATGACTCAAATGCGTTATTCAAAATATTTTATATTTTTCGAAAAAAAATTCTATTGTGTACAGAAGATTATGTGAGCCACGCATCAATAGTCGGTCCCAGGTTGCGCACCCCTAACTTAGAAGATAAGTTGATCTACATTCCTGAAGTTGAATACCTGTATTGCAAGATCTGACAATTTAACAAGCATCCAACTATCCGAGCTGCTTTTTTCTAATTTTAGTTAGGAAGCGTTTAAATATAAGAAATGCAACCAATTCTGCATAGAAATTCAATATCGTTATCAAATAATTATTATTTCATAAAAACTTATAAATTTACAAAAGGAATCTCAAGTTTAAAATTTAATTGCTTTAGAACCATCATAATGACGCACTCTTAAGATTCTAAGTAAAATCTTAATTACAGCGCTTTAACAGGTCTGCACTTGTTTACGTTAGTGTATCAATGGGTTATATTAGAATATAAATTTGACGCGATAGGATAAATTAAAAGATATATAATATTTATTATATAAGGCATTATATTACAATAATTAGACTCAATTATGAGACGCACTGTAGTGTTTTTTAATAATGACATGTTTTGCACGAGGGCAATAATTTTATAGTTAAACATACATGTCATGGGTTTTTATTCGGGATATTTTTTATAGACTTCCCATTTGTATTTATTTTTAACGTATTACATTAGAATGTTCACCCATTGATACACTAAAGTAAACAAGTAACAAAAACTACATAGATTTATCTGAGTTATTTTAAGAAATACTGTTGTTTTCTGCAGAATATAAACGTCTTCGGCGGCCTAAATATTAAATTAAAGTTATAGGCTATAAAATGGCGAATTTGTCATTATCCTGGTTTATGAAGTGTTACCAGAAATTCTTTTTAACTGCTTATACTGTAAGGAGGAAAAGCAAATATTAACCTAATACCAAGTTTATGTATGATTGTGTATGATTGTAATATGCTTGGATGTCATCAAAGTTATTTATTTATTTAATGATTGAATATTATACACAAATTTATTCTGTTAATATCAGCAATAAAAAAAAATTGATTCCTTTCTACAGTGGATAAAAATAATTAATTGAAGCAATTTATGGTCCATCTAACATAAAGGCATAAGTTGAGTTACTTACTATTATCTTAAAATGACTGTTTTTTTAAACTTCTAAGGTAATATGTCATTTTCCTGGCATTCAAGATTTAGTAAATTTCTATTTTATTTTTCTCGAGCAATAAACTACACTGCTGTCTATAAGATATTAATAAGTGTAGCTAAAGAAGTATACAAAAAAAATTTTAGATTATTTCGAAGACTTTAAATTTGAAGAAATTTTTACAAAAATGGGGTGGCGCTGTTGCAGTGGATGCTTGATTCTCACATATATAAAGATCCACTATCACCACAGCAAAGCACGATTTCCATAGTGGATCTGCCGATTTAAGAGGAAAGTGTAAAGAGAGAGAGAGAAAACTTACCCAGAATGGGGATCCACAAAAATCATCTAGCACATTCATTTTTCTAACGTGAGAAGAAGTGTCGTCATCTCATTTTTAACTCATTCAAAGAATTGCCCTACAAAACAACACAAAATAAAATGTATCACATCTGCTGAATAAAGATTTCTGTTCAGATTCATAACGTGCAATATGACGTCACCCTCTTTTTATTTACTCAATATGCTCGAGAAATAGTATCAAAATATTACAAAGTTCAATCATCATTGCATTCTCATGAGGTGGGTATAGCCTTTATGGGGGAAGAACAACACAGTAAAATTTTCAATAAATAAATAAAATTATTGTATTTTTTGATAGTTTATCTTTATAAGATTACTGTGCATACCTGCCAACATTGGAGAAACGGAGATTTTACTAGGCTACCAGTAAAGTTTTGATACATCATCACGCAAGTCAAAAAGAGACATTTAAAATTGGAAATAATCTAAGCACTTAACATTTAGCCAAGTTTAAAAAAAATCTTTATCTAAAGAGGATTTTTTTGAAATCATTATTTATAATTACTATAACGGTTGTTAAACAGCATTGTCATTTTGGGTGAACTCGTGCTCAACTCCGGAGCCTTGTGAATTTGAACCCAATCCAGAAGACAAGAGAACTCCTCGACCAATCAAGTATTGGAAGAAATTTCTCTTTGTGGAGGACTTTTGGATGAAACTAACTCGAATTTGCGTTACATGGAGAGGAAAACCACGAAGACGTTAGCCTGACCGCAAGGGGTACTTAACACCCAACCTACTGCAGTATTGGCAATAGCACCATCTGTCGAAGAAGAGTCAAATTTCTTTTCCTCAACAAAAATGAAGAAATTTGAGAATATACAGGTGAACAGGAGATGGTCGTAAAATACAGGAGTTAAAAAACAGGAGACCTGTCAGGTATGCATCAAAATATTATTTTCGTAAAAATGTTGCAGAAAAATATGTGGAGTTGAACTCAAGTTAAATATTATTCACTACTTTATTGAAATAATTTGTTTTATGTAAAAAGGAATGAATGGTATGTTTTAATATAAATAATTGAGATGAAATAATCTTTAAAGGAAATTCTAATAACTGTCTTCTTCTTCTCTAAAAACATAATATTGACCTTTTACAAATAAGATCAAAATTCAAGACTATAACCGTCGTTCAACAGACTCAATTTTGGGTTTACGACTATTAATTTCGTAGCCTAGTCATTTTGAACCCAATCCAGAAGACAAGGGAACTCCTGGATCAAGCAGTGGGAGAAATTTGCTTTCGTGGAGGACTTTTTGATGGAGATAACCTGCATTCACGTTACATGGAGAGGAAAACCTCCCACGGTTAGCCTGACGGGAAGGGGACCCTATCCCCGTCTACCACTGAAGATATTTTACGTCAGCACTGTGATCGGTGCAAGAGGGCTTCGGAATTGATCAGCCGTAGCTGGGTTTCGAACCCTGCTCACCTTATAGGACGCTCTATTGCCATCGTGGCTCTCTTTGGATTAAAGGATCTTCTCTGTGTTTTCACATCTCCTGAGCCACCACGGAATAAACTATATATTGCAGGCACACTTCTTGAGGGAGGAAAAGGAAGGGGAAAAAAAAACGTTTGGTGGGCTAAGTAAAAACTTCTACAATAGAAAAACGATATACAAGTTTTAATTTAAATATTTAATGTGTGAAATTGCGTATATTTTATATTTCATTTTTCAAAGTTCCTTATATTGAGGTAGAAGGTTAAATGTTAGTCTGAAATAATATTTTAAAATGTTTGAAAAAGACTTGTTCACGTACGTAAAATGAAGCACTGATACGTTCGTCCAAGAAGAATTTCATAACGCTATGTTGTCTTACTTTTCAAGTGAGTTACCCGCAATCTGGAAAATGTGGTGTAAAGGACACTCCAGAAAGAAAAAGACAACTATGACGTCAGCGAATCTTTAACAGCGAAATGGCGTAATATAAAGATTCGTTTCATAATGTTAATTAAATACAGAACCGTATATTAAATCGTATGATCTTTCTCGTCTTTTTTACTTAACTTAGATTCACTATTTGTTTACAGTAACTGCGATGTATTTTTGTTGTGTACCTGGCAACTTCGATGCATAATAAGTTTATGTTCATCATGGCTTCGTGTCTGTCTTTGGTATAAATATATACTGAAAGAATTATTTTCAAAGAATCTTTGTGAAAGAATATAAAATGTGTCCCTTAAAAGAATTGGTACTTGACGGGGGCACTCGAAACAGAATGGAAAGAACAGTCGCTAACAAGTTTCAACAACCTATCAGGATCAAAATACTCCCACTACGTCACTTGCAGGTATCCCTTTGTGTGCACGTTTGCAAAAGGGATGAGAGCAACAAGTTAGAGCAGAGGTCGCCAAAGTGGTCTATATAGACCCCCAGGGGTCTATTTAACAAAAGCGGGGGTCGATGTGAGACAGGGGGGCGAATGGGGGTCGATCCGAATCGGAAGGGTCGATTGTGGGCCGGAAAAAAAAAACAGTTCTCAATACGCAAATCACACATACCTAATTAAGTATGTAAAATTTGTGAATTTTTTTTATAATTGACTCAATATCAGTTTCTTTATAAAACATAAATTAATAAACGTATATTTATTGGGGTGAAACAAGTATTTACGTACCACCGCGCAGTGGCACGAACTCAGCGCAGTTTATAAGTCATATGCATATGTGCGCTTGTCCAAATGTCACGTGTGACGAGCATTGACGTTACAAATGCAAATATCATACGCAGTTTCAGCTATCTTTGCAAACTGTGTTGAATATTTGCAGTGTCATTATTAAAACTTTTATAGTTTTGGATAATTAGTTATTGTTTCGATAAAACCATTCGTTTGGTTTAGATATCAATTTTAATTATCAATGCACAAAAAAGAAGGTAAGCATTAATAATATGGATTAGTACAGCCCGCGACAAAACTATAGCACACTTTGTATTTTTTTACGAAAATTACAAAATTGACCAATTTTGACGAAAATTAAAATTGACCAATTTTGAACCCAATATAGCGAACCTTGCAAAAAAACACCAGGCACACCCATCTCATTGATCAAGAAGCAGTAAATCTTTAGTTACTTTACTTATTATATCTACTTATGCATAATTACTTATTATTTAATAATAAGGTATTTAAATTTCAATATTAATATATTTTTCATAAAACTATTGTTACACAATGTACTATTACTTTAATAAATGTTTAAAATCATAAAATAAATGTACAAACACAGTATCTAATAGAGTTTTATTTTAATTAACAGAAAATTACTTTTGTGGGGGTCGATGGAGATTTCGAAAAATTATATAGGGGTCGATGATCAAAAAAGTTTGGCGACCCCTGAGTTAGAGGAACGAGCCAATTTTTGAGCCAGAATATAATTTTGATTTTTTTTTTTTTTTTTTTTTTTTTTTTTTTTTTTTTAAAAATAGGGACTGCTGAGAGTTGTCACTCTGTACCGTTTCGGTTATGAATATTTCTATCGAAATTGGAACGTTTTTCTTATCAAATTAAATATTTTTTTATATCATCCTAGTTTACTTATCTGCCAATCAATCAACGAAAAACCAGAAAATAACTTTATGAGAAAATGATTTTTAAGAGTTGGATCGAAAAGTTTTAAGAATTGTGGGGTACATAAATATTTTCTATATCATTTTAAAGAATGAACAAACGAAGAACGATATAGGTTGAGTAGCTTCTGAGTAAAAAATAAAATTCATGTCTGTCTTTAAATAGTTGTACTCGTGAGCTATTTGATCACTTCAATTCAAAGTTAGTATATTTACTTATTGTTAGAAAAATTATACAGTCAAAAATGATGTAAAGATACAACATATCATTCCAAAAATATTAAAAACATATCTTACATAAACATACAGATGACATCCCAAAGTAAAAAATTATTTTCTAATGAGATTGACAGATTTCAAACTTAAGCAACTGTGACAACCTTTTTTTTTATTGGTGTTATTCACTTAGTTATTTGAGGTAACAACACATTTGTTTTCTAAAGAATATTTCTTAACCGCTTCCGTGATTACCCAAAGATTCGGGCATAATAATCGTTTTGTTTTATCGGCCGGAACAATCCGCTCTGTGATTGGAATTTTGTCAATATTTGTTTGAGCGGGACTGTATATGCGATGGTTGATGAATTTATATAGAAAAAAAAATGCGCGAAATGCAGATGATTTTTATATTATACAAAGACTAATATCTTTCCCGAGATAATTTGGGAACTGATGGTAAATTAAATATTTTTTTTTTTTTTACACAAAACTTGTGTATTATGTTTCGTTCCTTGTATTTTTGAATGAAATAAATAGGTTTTGTTTTCAAAAAAATTGGTAAGATAATCGGCTGCATGAGAGAGACACGTTTCTTTAAATGTTTTTACAAAATGTCAATATTTTGGACAAACATTTTTCTATGTTATATATTTTTGCGACTATTACGTAGTAATATAAAATGTAATCTATATATACTGAAAGAATTATTT